CCACATCAAAATATGTACATCAGTTTATATGTGTTTGTAAAAGTAGACACATTAGGTATGCGGAGAGATGTTTTTTCAGCTCATTTTGCGGAACACCACATCAAGTAGCTTTCTAGTATTCACGATGGTACTCAAAGGAGCTCAGTCACGTAACATATGCTGGACTGTGATTATATAGTGAAGTTGAGTAAAAGCTTTGTAGTTATTAATAAGCAAGTTAATAAGAAGAGTCCTTGGTTTTGCTGAAGCTTGCGCAATCAGATTTAAGAAATTGGTTCTCTATGTATACAAAAGGAGACAGTAGTGGTTAGCTTATATCTAACTTGGTAGCAAACACTTGTTTTACCTTTATAATTTTCCTTCCCTTCTCCCTTCTCTTCACATTGTTATTATTGTTGTACCGTTATTTTATCTGAAAAACTGTTAGTTATCTTAGGATTTCTGCAAATCTTAAATCATAGTTGAGTATTAATCTTGTTGAGTAGTGCTCAAACCATCCTATGAATTTAAGTCAGACATGCTAATATCGTTGTTTCATTGCATGGAGGATTTTATAATAAGCTGACATTGGTTAGAGAACCACTGGAAAACCTGCAGGGAGTACTAAAGAGCTGTTTCGTCAGCCTAGTTTGGGACTCTTCATCAGTACGCACCCATTGGGGTTCGAACCCAGGACCTGCTGGTTACAAAGTGAGCTAGCTCGTGGACCACTGAGCCACTGGGACCCAATCCAATGGTCCATGAATTCTAACTTCTGCCGATTCACGACATGGTGTGGCCATTTAGCACTGTCTTCTTCGATTGGCAGAAGTTAGAATTCATGGCTGTCCATCGGATCACATCCCAGTGGCTTCATGGTCTACGAGCTAGCTCACCTTGTAACCAGAACGTCCTGTGTTCGAACCCCAGTGGGTGCGTACTGACGAAGAGTCCCAAATTAGGCTGACGAAACAGCTCTTTAGTACTCCCTGCAGGTTTTCCAGTGGCTCTCTAACTGATGTCGGCTCATAATAAAATCCTCCATGCCATCAAACAAAATTCCCTACGAAACCAATACTTGAATATCGTAGTTATTTAATCCAATATATGGTTTAAACTTGTTAAATTTATTTATATGTGTTTTTCACGAAGTTTACTTGTATTTCACTATTTTTATCATGTCAAAATATTTGTGGTAATTAATTCAATTGTAGATTTCACCGTCGACTGATTGAACAGAAGTACTTGGTCTCAGGTTATACATGTTGACTCCTTGTGCAGATGTTTCAACTATGTGCGGTTATGTAATTTGAAGTCAACTGGTGGATGATGACTAACAGTGGGATCCAGGATGCGCGTTCCGCCCTATTTGGGACTCGTCATCTGGGTGTATCTACATACCCCGGTGAATGATGGTGTTCTTACCAGGGTTCGAATCCAGTGTCCATAGTTTCAAACGTCAAAACTTTATCCACTATACCACTGTTAGTCACCATTCACCAAGTGACTTCAAGTTACATGATTAGACATCGTAGAGGCATCTGCACAAGTAGTCGATATGTCCCCTGAGACCAAGGACCTCGATCCAGTCAATCGACGAGAAAACTTAAAATTGAATTGAATAATTCATTAGACCCTTAGCACAAGAGGTGGCTGTCATGTCCAAAGTGGTGTAGTGGATAATGCTTTGGCGTTTGAAACTATGAGAACACCATTGCTAACTGATGAATGCAGGTACATCCACCTGACAAGTCCCAAATAGAACAAAGTGCTCATTCTGGAATCAACTACTAGTCACCATCGACCTAATGACTAAATGTTTATAATTGTATTAATTCAACCACATTAATTCCAGTTTACATGTTAATATTTGCCATGAGAAATACTATTCACCGAATGAGCATGTAAACAGATCATCACTCACCCCTTATAGATCGAATATTTGCTGAAACTGACCCTTATTTCTTATTATAGTATTCATGTATTTGTATTTAACCTTACAAGTTGTATAAATAGCAAGGTTTGCAGAAGAGAATTTATTGGTCAATCCTTCAAATCAATTCATCACAAAGTCGGTTACTAAATAACTTTATTAAGATCTGACTAAATATGCCATGTATTATTCATTGTATACAATGGTAACATTCCATTCAGCTAAATATCTGCTGTTTTACAAATAACTACTGTATTTCAGTTGGTTTAAAGATGAAACAGTGTTGACCTAGAGATACTAGATGCGACATTTTCAAAACAAAATTAATTATTCTTTATTCGATATGAAAAGCCTCAAGTTGAAAAGCATGTTATGTGGCATTAATATGAATAAATGGCTATAAAATATGCTGTAATAAACGGTATTTGTTAATTTTAAGTACTGCGAAAGTGAGTTTAGAGATGAAAAACCATAAAAGTGAAAAAATAGTCTTCAGAAAAAGAAATGAAGTTATCATGAACAAAACAGGAATGGAAAATGCTACAAAGAGGATATGACCTCATCTTTCATTAATTCACGGACTCTGCTTAATTGGGTACAACATGAACAATACAAAAATATGAGTTACAGTGAAGATTTCAGCATACTTTCTGCCCGATGACAAGCAGTAATTCATAGGAAGTATAAGTAACATGGGTCAGGAATGATGGAAATTGTGAAACTATCAGGGGTTAAAATAAGTCACTATTTATCGGGTAATTGAGCCAGTACTGTTGAAGACAGAGTTCAAAGTATTTGGGTTTAGACAACATTTAATTAGAAAGAGTATAACAATATAATAAGTTACGTAACTACAGAAAATATGTCTCTATAAAATGGCAAAAAGAGGCAGGATACGACACAATACAATTTTCTAGGCAGAACAGGAGATATGGGCGAATACATAACATTAAAATATCATCTACCTTCTTACGTAAGTTTGAACCTTAAGGTATCGTAAGGTTCACCGCTCTTTCCTTATGCGACTATAGATTTGGATTTTGCCGTTTGATGTCGACTGCCTCAGCAAAATGTAGCAAACGAGGTTTCTTTTGTTTTTTAATTATTTTAAAAGCTTTCAGATTGTTCAGAATACACAACGGCCTGCTTTTATCATTAGACCACCTAAATTTTCCATCGATCAAAATGTATCCAATTTGAAACCCCATTTCAAAATTTTTCTAACCTTCTAACTTTCACGGGATTCGCAATCTAAACTCATACACAATTCTAAACCACTTTCTACCTGCCACTAGGAATATTTCCAAGGGATATAGGAAAAACATTGTTGAGTAACATCGAAGCATAGTTCGTATGGAACAACATTACTTCAGATGATATAGTTTCGATTGTCATGTTATTTGAAAATTTTTTACCAGAGGTAAATACCTTGCAATGGAATTCGCTGGAAATTCTGTATGGTTTCCAAACGAATTCTTCAGAATATAGCTATTATTATTATTATTTTGACCATTATCCGAGACGATTGCTTAAGTTATGTAACCAATCACATTGTCATACTCTACCAAGTTAAACTGTTTTCCTAAACAAATATTTTGAACTCTGTCCTCAGCAGCACTAACTTAATTATCTTATAAATAGCCAATTCGTTTGCGTAGGTGACACATCGGTAAAGTACTCGCCAACTACGTATTTAGTTTGGGGTTCGATTCCCGGCCGACACACGCCTTTACCTCGCTATGCCACTAATAAGACCGGTAAAGTAGGGAGGTTGGGCATGAAAGTAGCAACCCCATCCTGTAAAAAGAAATACCACTGTTACTGAAACTTCGAAGCTCTAACCTGAAGTCCTATTTTCCATTGGGATCGTAAAGGAACAAAAAAAATCAATCCCTATAACTCTTATTGATTTAAATACCTACTTATGTTACTCATACTTCTTACAGATTACTGCTTGTTGTCGTGTAGAAGGTGTGTTCAGATCTTTACTGTAACTTATATTTTTCATATTCTTCGTGGTGTAGTCAATTAGGAAGAGTCCTCGTAATGGTGCGAGGTGAAATCATATTCTCCTTTTTCGTATTTATCATTCCTGCTTAGTTCAAGTTTATTGAGGGAAAGAACTGCTCGAAATTTTTAATAAAGTTATGTAATTTCCAAATATTATGGAAAATTTATTTTCAAAAACCTTTCGTAGATTAATTTCACTACCGCACTTTTTGATGAACAAATTTAATTTGATTCACCATGATAGTAAGGTTGAATTAAAATTTTTTGAAATAAAGGTAATAAACATTTTATACAAGCTATAGCAATGAAATTTCAGCTGACCAAAGGTAACTATGTTCAAACTCATAACATATACATTCTTCAGTTTTTTGGTAAGAACATTCAATGATATGAACGTCAACTAGTGGCGTTAGTTGTTCTAGGCATTTCTATCACTTCTAACCTCTACGTATGAATTAAGCACCGACTTCACTTGTATCTGGAATGCCTTGGGTTAGAATCCCAGTGAGTAAATGCTGTGGAAGAGTTCTAAGCTGAGACAAAGCAAATGTTTACTACTCCATGTCGGCTTTATTTGGTTCTGTAACTCATATCAATCTGTGGTCAAGCTTGTAATAAATCCAGTCTGTATAAAATAACCTTGAAATTAGTCTTACGCTCGCCTCGCTAATGAGTGACTGGCCGCGGGACGAGGTTACATGGAGCCCTTTCTAGTGAGAAGTCGTGGACACAAGGTATCCACCTGTATGGGAGTGTGGAATCATACTCTGCTATCCGGCTGACTGTTAACCACACTAAAATCATGAACCAGTAGATGCTGGAACTCACGAGAAGGCGGCTAAATCGGATCGCAGTGTCTGAACGGTCTACAAGCTTGCTTTGTAAGTGAAAACCCTGGATTCAAATTCGAGTGAGTCCAAAGCACTAGAACGACATAGCTGTCGAGTACTCTCTGTTGTTTCTCAATGGTCCTCTACCTGATATCAATCCGTGGTTAAACATTAAACGCAGATATGTAAATTAACAATTTCAATCATACATAAATAAATATAATAATAAAAAGTGTTAAATCACTTACCAATACAGAATATATCTATGACGAAAAATTCTATGATCACATGAAGAAAGATGAGTAAATTTTCCAAAACGATGTACATCTTTTTTCGTATTCTGAAAATGTCTAACTAAACCGTATTTATCCAGAGAGACACAACATTTACATTTAACAACAGTATTCAGTGTTATTGTTGCGTTCCGCTGTCAGTATGCAGCACCATTTTTAATCATTGTACAGCATACTGAGCTTAGTAATCAGAATATTGCAGACAAATAAACGTATACGCATATAAAAGCATATAAAAAATATGTACAGTTAGATTGTTTATATATGTATTTCAAAAAAAGACATTTATTCTCTTAATGTATCTCTGAAATGATTAAAACTTTTCATATATATATATATATATATATATATATATATATATATTAGGTATTCTATTGTACATCAATTTGTAACGATATTTCGACTGGTTGAAATGACTCAGCCAATCAAAAAATTAGTTTTTTGACAGGATTGTAAAATAATTGCTCATTGAAAACGGATTTATTTAAATAAAAGTGAAAAGAGTTTAATGAATTCTGCACTGAAGAATATGATAAAGATATGACAAGACTGGAGTTGTCGATGTACTATATATATATATAGGCACAGCATATAGCCGCTTGTTATGTGTCATGCTCATCACTGTCTCTGCTGCTTTTAACTGTTATAAATTCGCATTTGGTTACATCTCACCTGTGACAAAAGACAGACGTGATAACCTGGAGTGATGTATTGTCCTCTAGTATCAGTCGAATTCAAATGAAGTACTATTTTTTCATATATTTGGTTCCCTTGTGCGTCGGTGGCACAGTGATTAGGACTCTCGCCGACCATGCATAAAGTCCGGGATTCGATCCCCTGTCGACGCACACCTGATATCAATGGTTGGCCTGCAAAATTTGGGCTACGGATATCACATGCTTCTGAAAATTCCATACTTCTACCAATAAGTACTGCGTGGAATCAAGCTATATTCAAAATGAAAAAAATTTTGATACAGAAAGAAAGACTAAATTTGCAGTAAAATGACATCATCACCATCATTCTATTTCACCACCTGGTTATGTAGATAATAATAACATACTTTAATGTTTAAGAAGAAATACTATAAAAATGACGCATCCAAAATGTAAGCATTACAATTTTTAGTTTACGTCTCCGTCATCAATTTATACGCTTTCAAAGTAGAAAAGAGGGGGGCACGGGTGAGACAGAAAACAGAAAAAATTACAAGCATCTATTTGACCACTGAGAAACCCGGTTGGACTAGAAAAAATTGAAAAATCATCAGCCATCAGTGGTCTACACGCTATAGGATCAGGCCACAAGATTGATTTTGACAATATTGAAATCATCATCCAGAAAAACTTCAGAAATCACAAAGAACTTCTAATATCAGAAGCACTTCATAACAAGTGGAATCAAAATGGCCTGGTGAATAGGAATGATGGACTAAAACAGAATCTGACATGGTGACAACGCCTTCCTCCCCTCCCCAACGAAGTGAAAAACTCAACACGAATGTGATAAGCAAGTTCATTATGTTAAACACAAACTACTTTTATAATGTCACACACTGATCAAATCCAACAATCTACAACTGGTTTTGTTACCTCTACCAGTTGACCAACTTGATAACGAAAAATGACCCCAGACTGACGAACATTGATTAAGTTAGTAAATTTTTATTTTGATATCATAACAGACGTACTATTACCTTTGATATTTGGTTTAGTGATTGATCTTCATTGTTATTTTGACTTTCAATATTTCCCTTTAACTTGACCTATGTAGTCTATTATCTCACCCCTTAACTCTTTGTTATATATATATATATATATATATATATATGCTGAGATTTTATAAATTCTGCTTTTACAATACTTAGATAAAGCTATTAGCAGCATTAAATAGCGAAACGTCAGTAAAACCAACAATATCGTTTTGTTTTTCATTCATTGGGAAATCCAAAAAAATCCAAAACCAACACTTGAATAACAAAAACCTTTATTATAATGAATATCATATACCCAATGACCAAATGTTTTAAACTGTTAAAAGTGAACTTGGTTTGGACATATATAACAAACAGTGTTAGCTTGAAGGTTCACATAGTAACTCAAAAAAACAAAAGCGGTTACATTTTATAAGATTGAGATTTGTTCAATGAGTTGAGATCACTAAATTAGATGACCAGTAAATGTAATCAAGATCAAAATTCAGTTACCAAAGGAGTGAGTGGTTAATCACACTCTTATTCTGTATGCATAAGTCTGGTTTGAATAATTTGATTGTGACCACTTTGGCGAATCATTGTAAATTTGCTCTCCTTTGTCTATTTAATATTTTATAGGATGTCGAAATCTTTACGAGATAACCAGTATCAACAATATGTTTGGTAACTGCACTCTGAGAATATTTGTTTCCTTTCAGGCACAGGTTTCTTAAAATATATTCAGAAAACCGATAGAAGCCCTTCTTCCCGTCCTTCCGATGTACTTGCTCCCGCATATGCATATAAATTCATAAACGTATTTGGAGGTGACATCAGCAGGGTATTTATTCAGTTTTGAGTGGCTTATAGAAGAATTGTTGCTTTTTAATGTTATGAGTTTAACTGTGTGACACTCTGGGATTAATTGAAATAATTAATAATGAATCAATCTGACTAGGCGCTCAAATTATTCCAGGTAGTCCGTAACACCAACGGTCTGCAACTTATAATCTTTTGCATATTGTTCAAAACAAATACTCAAGTATAGTAAAAATTAAATAAGCGACTCAACGAAAGTAGTAGAGTTATGGAAGATATTATCACCAGTCAAATCACAAGATAATACATAATGTTAAAATGTATTTCAATCTAAATTATAACATTCTAACAAGTTATTTATTTTACAATAAAAATATCTTATTTCTCCACTGATTGTGTTTGCTGATAACACTAATTATGTTTCCGAATTTAGTTTATCTTCCATTCTTAGAAGTTAATTGGTGGATGGTGACTAGTAATGGAATCCAGGATTCTCATTTCGCCTTATTCGGGACTTGTCAGTTGGATGTGCCTGCATTCCGCCGTGAACGATGATGTTCCCACCAAGGCTCAAACCCAGTGCCCATAGTTTCAAACGCCAAAGCGTTATCCACGACACCACTTGGGCCACGAGATCTACCTCTTGTGCAACAGGTCATATTAATTATTTAATTCAATTTCAGATTTTCTCGTCGATTGATTGAACCGAAGTCATCAGTGTCAGGTTGACATGTCGGCTTCTTGTGCAGATGCTTCTACGATGTCTGCGCATCTAATGAGAAAATCTTAAATTTAATCTTAAATGTCTTCCATTCTGTTTCACGTAAGTTTTATATGTATTTCATTAAAATGTGTAATCAATTTTTACTCATGTATTTAAATGAAGCAAGAAAGTTATGTGAGTACCTTGATTTGATTATGAGTGGCAATAAATTGTGCTCGAAACGTTATCAATAAATATTAAGCAATAAGACTCTGTGACTTTATCAAAATAAAATTTTAGCCATAATGAAGCAACTTATGTGTTTTATACTCATGAACTGCAGTGACTTCTACGTATTTGAAGAATCTCAAATACGATTAATAGATGATGAATGAACAATATTGTTCCCATTTAATGTCTTACTTAGTCTCTAGTTTCATCTTTCCAGATTAGCCAAACAGTTCATTCATTGAAGATACCAATTAAAAAATTAAAAGACTGAATAATAAACAAACAAAACAATATACTTTTCAGTAAAGTCATCATCAAGTTCTACATTTATGTGACGGTAAAGTAATATTCTTATTAACAACATTGTTGCTTTGGACTCTTCAGCAGCACACAGTCACCGGGGTTCGAACCAAGGACCTTCTGATTACAAGATGAGCTCGTAGACCATTAAGACACTGGGACCCAACCCAGTACTGTCCAGCCGTCCAGCACTCCCAGATTTTCCAGTGGTTCTTTAACCAATGTCAGCTCATGATGAAATCCTGTAAACAATCAGTCAAATCTCTAAAAACCAATCCTCGAACATTTTTTTCCTTCACGTTCCCAGTCGAAAATAGGGCCTCAAGCTAGTGGCTTGAAGTCTCTGTAGCAGTTTTAATTTTACAGGATGAGGTTGCTAGCATCATGCTCAACCTTTTCTCTTTACCAGCATTATTTCTGGCTTAGCGAGTTAAAGGAGTGAGTCGACCGGGGATCGAACCTCGGACCATGTGAATGGTTGGCGAGCGTGCTAACCGTTGTGCCACTGACGCACCCTCGAACATTAATGCCGTTTTAAATTACATTCGGTCAACAGTTTCGGCAGATTACATTTCAAAAGCAGCATTAGTGAGAGAGAGAGAGAGAAATTGTCCATTAGTGTGACAATAAACTGACTGAATATCAGATAAATTAAAGGGAATAAGACAGAATTTGTGAATTTAAAGGCTCAAAAGCACTCCAGAATAAAATAGTATCTGGCTTAATCTGGTCTGGTTGATTTGAGCGAATTGCGATGTCTTCTCCTGTTTTTTAGTGTTCGGTATTTTGAGGTTTTTGATAATTTATTCTATACCTAATAAACGATAAAGAAAGACTCGTCAATGCTAGCTAGCTTTGTGGCCCGTTTACACGAGTTGACCTAGTCACCTTGATGCTCTTAACAACACATTTGTTAAGTCACAGTGGTATGTATTATCGAACACAAAAATTAACCTCTTCTACGAATGGCCAGTATGACGGACTCCCCAGAAGCAGTTGATTGAAGGATAGAATTAGAGGAGGCTAGCCTAGTAACTTCATCTGTCTGTGTCCAGATCTCTGCCGATTGTGTGGAAAATATAAGCTGCCGCTTCTGAAATGTAATCTACCGATACTACTGATTCAGTGTAATTTAAAACAGCCACAATATTATTCATGGTAATAATTCTTTAGTTAATACTGTTATATAAATGTGGAGCCTGATGAAGAATTTATCGAGACAAATATTTTTGCTCATTAATCAGTCTATTAAACGGTTAATTTTATAAGGAAATCTATGGAAACAGTGAGTCACACTCATAGTTAGCTATGGCAACGATCAATGGAGACTTCCCCTAGCTTATTTTACACAGAAAATAACACAGAGGATTAAATCGACCAGCTAAGAGAACATAAAGAAATAAAATTAATTCATGTATAGCATCTATATAATAAGTATTCACTGAAAGTCACATTATATCTACACGCAATTAATGCACCCAGATTGCTATTTTTGAGTGATGTGAGGGCAAGTTAGTAAGTTATCTTCGAGATTTCATGAAAGATTTTGGACATAAGGAGTACTGAACAGTAGCCTG